ATATATATATATATATAGGGAGCGTTTAGCTATGCCATACTAATCATGAACCCAGAAGAATGTGAGAAACTCACTCTCTCACTTAGTCAATCAGTCAGTCAGTCAGTCAGTCAACTAGCAATTCCACAAACCGCCCAACTTATATAATAGTTACTCATTTGTAGAAATCAGATTAATCAACTGATTAACTAATCTAGTCCAATACCCCGTTTCTTGTTTCCTTATCTACATACAGCAAAGGACAACGACAGAATAGTGCATACTTGCAGATCAATTAGCTTTGGTAAAAGATATATAGGAGCATCAAGAATTACACATTAAATACACACTTGATTATAATTAAACTGCTTTATCAACAATCTCAGGTCCTGTCCAGAAGTTTTGATGAGGAGTCCAGCTCAACAGGTTTACCTGTCTTGAGACTGGCTTTAGCAATTTCTGGAGACAGAGATATTATTGACACTGCTTATGACATCAACGCTTTGCAACAGTGAGTATGCGTGTAGTTATTAAAGTTGCTTCTCTTTTTCCTTTCAAATGAAAAACTGGATTTAATGCCGTGTCCTGTAATTTCTTCTTACTCTGTTAGAGTTCTTGCATCCGACTCAGCGACCTAACCCGCCTGTCAAGACGTTGGGCAAAATTGTTTCCTATGTCGTTAATTAAACACTGTGAGTTTAATACATTAGTACATATACAGCATATGCTATTTGCAACTTCTTTAGTGTAACAACACCAAGCCCCGCCAGTGTAGTTGATATCATGCTGAAATAAAGTACAGATGACCCTTGTTTGAATCTAAATGGAACGCTATTGAACTTAGGTTGTTTGGGGAGTTTTCTAAGCTCTAAACCCACTCGGTTCGGTCCTATCGGATTAGGAATAGCCTTCTAGGCATGTAGACCCATAACACATATTACTATCTCATGATGCTAACCCAGTAGTTTACTTGGAAATTTTCTATAGTCCACCACTTCACAGCAATTCTCTTTCTCTTCAGGAGTGTCAATTTTGTCTTGGTCAAGGCGTACGATTTCTACACCAGCGAGTTTCCTTTACTGGGTCATCACGCTGCGATTTATCCCAGCGAGAACGACCAAGGCTTCGGAGAGGACAAGAATGTGGCAAGAGCTATGTTTCTCGCTCGTGGATATAAGAAATAATAAAATACTCCTATAGAGCCGGCAAGTCGGTGCAGCTTAAACTCAAGCACAAAAAAAGACTTTTACTCAAAACATAGGGTTAAATACTTAGCAAGAGGGAATTCAGAATTACATGTAGTTGAAAGACGACCCCTATGGCACAATCTCCATCTCAGCGTGTTTATACTTCTGGTACAAAATCTGTGTATGTTTTGGGGGTTTTATAATGTCGAGATTTTCACATTTAAACTTTCTCAAAGTTAATCAATGTTTCAGTCTCTATGCAAAAGAGTTTCCAACGGATCTCGTTACAGACACAATCTTTTCATTCTTTTACTTCAGGACTTCGCCATACAGTACCTGTTGTACTTAGGAGTACCAAGCACCAAGCTTATCATGGGGTTACCTTCCCACGGCAGATCCTTCAAGTTCCTCAACGAGAGCGAAAAATATTTTGGTGCCCTACATGGTGGGAACGGTGTGCCTGGCCCATACTCCCAGATTCCTGGAATACTCACGTACTATGAAGTAAGACTGTGTGTGGGTGGCGGGTACTCTGGTGTGGTTTGCTCCTTCTTTTTTCTCTCCTCCTTCTTTGTTTGCGTTTGTTACTCTCTTGAATCACCTCTAAAATTTGGCACTCAAATGACCTAATTGTGTTGCAAGTGCTGTAAAACCTACTTAAACAAACGAAGTAAGACTGCATTGTTCAACTCCCATCAATTACAAATATTTTACTAGATGTGTTTTGAAATGTATATTCCCATATCTTCCAAAACTACAGTTTAAATAAACTTTTTTTTCTGTATATGATTCAATTGGGGGGGGGGGGGTTAATTTAAAAAATATATTTTTTGAGTTGTCAATTTTGAATAGCTAAAACTGATCAGCTTGAAATACGGCTCTTCGCCCTCTTGGAGATGAACGCTGAGTTTGGATGTTTGTCCTCTTAATAAACCTCAATGTTTTCAACAGATTTTCGTGAGCCCAAAGTAGTCCAAATAAATCAACCAGAAATTCCAATTGTTTTCGGCAATTTTGGTCGACAGACATGTGATCTTCTCAACAAGGGATGGACGTCCAGCTTCCACGAAGAACACCAGGTTCCCTTCGCTTTTAGCAGTGAAGAAATTGTCACCTACGATGATGTCGGCAGTATGACAGCGAAGGTAGGAATTTAGGTGCCGTGTGGAATGTCATACACCCAAACGTTTGTTAAATACGGGAGAATGGTGTTTAGAAATAGGAACATAAGCAAGAAAACATGTTTCTTAAATGAAACGTAAATTTAACTCTGAGTACTAGGATTTTTAAAATGCAAGGTACCCTCCCCCTCAACCCCCCCCCCCCCAAAAAAAACCATCCCAAAGGAAATGACTAACTATTTAAACTAATAAACCAACAGCACGTCAACCCCACCACCTTTACACACACACACACACACACACACACACACACACACACACACACACACACACACACACACACACACACACACACACACACACACACACACACACAAAATATGAAGTAACAAAAAAACCCAACTGACCAAAACAAAACAACAGATAGATATACAGTCAGTCTAACTGATTCAAAAGCTTGTTAATACGGTTCAGCTTTAGGCACATTGCAGATGACAATTAGTCAGACTCCTCTGGGTTGGGTTCTTTTGGGGGGGGGGTTCGCTTTTTTTTAAAATATGGGGTGTTTTACGCCCCCCAAATCGACACGATTTAACTAGATCATGTAGAAGGCAAACTTCGACCCTGTCTGCCAGAGCCGGCTGGGGCCGAGAGGAATACAATATCCCAGCAAGAAGATCTAGATACTCGATGAGAATTTTCCCTACTCGGGTATCGAATTCTGATCTTCTGCGTGCGACGGCGAAGTGCCTAACCGCTACACAACAATACCTCCACTCCCCAAAAGTAAACTACAAATAACAAACAAACAAGCCAAGCCCAAATAAAAAACAGATCTATAGTAAATCGAAACAGTAAACGAGGTGAATATCCATATGGTTTGCTGTCACTCTTGATATTATGTTTTCTTTCAGGTGAACTATGTAAAAGACAATAAACTCGGAGGTACATTTATTTCCTCCTTGGCTAATGATGACTTCAGTGGGCTGTTCTGTAATCAAGGAGCATACCCACTCAGCCAGGCTGTGAAGACAACGTTTTCAACTTCACGAGGTACATTCTTTATATAACTAAACCGTTTTATCATTTCACTGCATAATTGCCAGTAAAATAAGTGAATTTTAAAAGTAATTTGTGCTCCTGTCATTATATTATCTGTACGTGCTCTTTTAAACATCAAAGAAAGCATAGCAATGTACTTACAGAAAACAGAAAGAGAGAGAGAGGGGGGGGGGAGAGATTGGAAAAGAGAGTGACATAGAGGAGAGAGAAGAGAGAGAGGGGGAAGAGCGAGAAAGAGAGGGACAGACAGACAAACAAACAGACAGACAGACTGACAACCAACTTTTTCTCTTGTCCATCTCCTCTCCCAGACGACTGTTTCCCCGGAGAGTTTGGCTCCGTGGACGAGCCTGGCTGTTCTCTCTGCCCCCGCGGTACCTACCAGCCCGAGTCCTCCCAGGTGTCGTGTCGGGCATGCCCAGACGGGACGACCACTCTCCAAGCGGGGACGGTCACTCCGGACACCTGCCTGAGTCAGTGCCCTAACTTGTATTACTTCAGTATGACTTTCTGCCATGTTCGAGTACGGGTGTCTTCAAAATCGGAATGTGACTGCCTGGAGGCAAAAAAAAGGGGGGGGGGGAGCTCCTAGTAAGGCTAAAAACACACAGGATCCATACAAACCATACTTTTTCCGGGCCATTAAGAATTCTGTACAGAAAAGTGCGGTTATACCATTCACACTGGGTCCATACAAACCATACAGGTTTTTTCGGTTTCTAGATGGCGCTCACGAGGAAGCGCAAGACATTTCTGCTTTGGTGGTACAAAACAAAAACCCTAGTATCCAAACGGTGTCACTGGATTCACCCAATTTCTAAAGACCGGGGAACTTTGGGAGAATTCAATCAAATTGTTGCCCCAAATATTTGCTGATGTTGAGAAATGTTTGGAATATTTTCGAATGACGCCAACAACATTTCAATCCTTGCCGGGGTTATTATATGTGCCAGTGGGCTTCACAAACAAAACACAAACTGAAGGAAATCTCTGTTTGTGTAACTTTTGTCTTTTTTATCATCAAGCGCTGTTCTTGCCAGCACAAATCCGATAAGCTGGGCATCGTCCATTTTGCACCACGTGCAACGTGTGGAGCGGAGTGTGCATAGTGTATGCTGGCCAGTTTTGTGATGTCAACTCCCCTTTTCTGTCCGCACAGATCAGAAAATGTTTGACATGCTTGACGCAATCCAGATTGTGCGGCGGACGGAAAAATCTGGACGCAGCGGTCTGGGTGCTGTGTGCATGTCAAGTTGTAAAATACAATGTTTAACGCAAGCGCACTTTTTATGTATGGTCCGTATGGAGCCTGTGTGCTTGAGCTCTAGATCTAAGTAGGAAAAACAGTCACATACTACGTAAAACTCAGTTGCGCTGCAGGTTGAAAAACCAGCAGTCGACTACCCCTGAGGTCTAACGAAGAAGAAGAAGAAGAAGAAGAAGAAGAAGAAGAAGAAGAAGAAGAAGAAGAAAAAGTGCGGTAAAGAGAAGCACATTGAATTAATATCTGTCACTTAGTGATGGGAAAGAGTAAGACAGACAGGTAGAAATAACAGAAAGAAAGAAAAGAAACAACTGCCAGTGGAGCCATCCAACCATGCATCCAAAATAATATTGCAAAAGTAAAACGTATGTTATTGTTGGGAGACTGCTTTCTTGTCTGTGATTGGGGGTCATCTGTAAAAGGTGATCACTGTACTGCGTTGTTTAAATGTATAAATGTATGTCTTTCTGACTTTCAAATCATCAGTGTTCAAGTCAATGCCGAAATTCCATTACGAGGAGTGAGGCAGCAATAACTGCACTTATCATTGGCGGTTTAAATATACGGCGAAAGGTGTGACTAAATGATACTTCACAAAATAAATGGACAAAACGAATCTCTAGACGATTCATTAGCTAAAGATTGGCCCTGAGAGGCAGGGTCGAAGCAGCACACCTCCTAAAGAATCTAAATCATATTGATTGGAGTCAAAAGCATTAACACTATACAATCAACAAAAAAAGGTCTTTAATAGGTAATGTCGTGTATTTTTTTAAACTAGTCAAAGGCCTGATAAACACTGGTTGAGTCACGGAAGTGGTTGCCATAGTATGGAGATAAACAACTTGCAAATGCATAAATGCTTCTAAAATGGATGTTTGTTCCCAAAATAGGCAGCTAGCACAGGTGCTCCCTGACAGGAGTTGCTGTGTAGCAGAATGTCAGACGCAGAAGACTTACATTCGACTAGGGTTTTGTTCCTATTTTTCATAGACAAGTCAGTGGGGATCAGACAGTGTGGGGCAGGTTCAATCTATTTCACGTTATGATCTATCCTTTTAGGCTAAGTCCTTTTTTCTGCTTTTGAAATACTGGGGGGGGGGGGGACATTAATTGCTTATGCAATATTGGTGAGTTAGGTCAATCCACAGAAAGCTTTTTCTGTGTTTATTTTGAAGTACCTTTTAGGAAAATTAGGCCTATATGATAATCCATGTTTGACCTAAGTCTGACCAAGGACAAAAGGTCAACAACATGCTCTTATTTTACCTAGTTTCAATGTTGTGACATAAGGTACGACTGGAATTATCCTGATCTATTCTTAATTAATAAAAATGAGTCATCACAGTTACTCACAGTAGACTACTTCAGAATCATTCCCTATCACTTACACTTTGTCTTTGTCACGTGAGCACAGAGAGTTGTCCCTCGGGGTCTGAGTACAACCACAAGACGGGAGACTGCACCGCCTGCAGAATTGGTTTTGTCAGTGAAGAGCTGACCCTGCCAGCGTGCACCAAATGCCCTCCAGGTTTTACCACGATTGCAAGAGGGAGTGCTCAGTGTGTACCCCGGCCAGGTAATGGATGCACAATGCCTCTCGTATTTGTTGTAAAATGATTAATATTTTACTCCCCCATCGACACAATTTAGATCGGTTAAGGGGCCGGCTACTTCGACCTTGCCTGTCGGGGGCAAACGTGGCTAAATGGGACACAACGTCTTACCAGACAAATGGAGATACTTGGTGATAAAAAAGTTCCGCTTGGAAGTTGAACTCACATCTTTTATGTGAAACGGTGAACCTCACCACAGACGCTGGTATGGTTCCAGTAATAATAGTATAGCCCGCGTGCGATATGAAAGATGCAAAGCAACAACTCCGATCAAAACCACGAGAATGAAAAAGAAGAACAGAAAATTGTTATATTAGCCGTAGTGATCAATATTCTACATCCTCTAAGCAATTACAAGCTGAACATATTAGCTGACTATGCCTTACGGTGTTAAGTTTACTCTTTGGATGTGTTGAAAGTCCCCCCCCCCCCTCCTACTTGGCAAATGATTGACCGTAGATACTGATATCGTGGAACCCGTGAAATTGAACTTCACAGTATCTACCAAGTTTATATTGCGATGTAAGTAGCTCTTGAAATGTATCCGTTCTGATTATAGTATGTTTATGTCTTTGCCCAAGGTACCGAAACGAAATATAATCAACAGAATCTCACAGAACAAACACAATCTACAAGCGCACACATGCAGAAAGAACAGCATTGGAATCTTGACAGCTCCAAGGAATCTAAATTTTGATTATGAACAAGGATTCATGAAGTCAGTAGCCAACTAAAAAATTATTATAATGTCCAATATTGTCTCACGCGAGTCACTGTTAACATTAATACGATAAAATGTCCAAACAAGCACGTCTTTTTTCCTTTTGTTGGTTGATTAAATGAAGTGATCACTGTAATAATTTTAGTATAGACACTTATATTGGGATGACAATAACCACTATAAAAGGTTTCATTCTTTTAAGGCTTACAGACAGATCAATGTTTTACAATTTACTTGAGGCCTCAAAAGAATGAGGTGTGTTGCAATAACATTATTTCTAGCTATCCTGTTTATTCCCAGATGAAGTTGAAGACAAAACTGTAAACCAGATTGATCTCAAGATGACCCTCATTTTCCAATTGGAATCGTGTGAAAATAGACCAGTCATGGATGCAGCTATTAAAAGCGTAAGCCCCATTTCTAAGGCTCAAATATTTATAAAATATATGCCAGTACAGTCGAACCTGCTCTAAAGCCACCTGTATAAGACAATCAAATGTACAAACGGTCACTCTCTATCCCCCCCCCCCCCTTTATTTTTTTTAAACATTATAATGTCACTGTAAGACTGCCACTTGTCTAACACGGCCTTTTTTCTCTATGTCAATAAGTGGCCATCTCAGATAATTTTGACTGTATTCTAATTATTTATTGAGGTATTTAGATAATTTTGAAAGCGGGGCGTTCCATCTCTGTCTGTCAGAGTAGACTCAAGCTCTGTGGGACACTACATTACCGCACAAAGACATAATCACGAGATACAATATCCCCTTCGCCTGAGAATCAAACTTACATCTTTCGCTTTAACGTAAAAATACCTGACCTTCAGACTATAGTTGGCCATATACATCAGTTCTCTCTCTTCAAATATCCTATCTACACGGACAAAGCACACTGACCGGCGTCTGTGGTGTAGCGGTTAGGCGCTCCGCTGTCCAACGCAGGAGACCTGAGTTTGATTCCCGAGTGGGGAGTAACTTTCTATTGAGTATTACGGTCTTTGTGCCGAAATGTGTTGCGTTCCTTTCAGCCAGGGTTAGCCCTAACAGGCAGGGTCGTAAGGCCGCCTCGGATATTAAGATCTAAATGGTGTCGATGGGGGCTTAAAAGCACCTACACCAAAAACGAAAGGCACAATGGTTCTCTCACATCACATCCCTGGCTACAGACCTCTGCACTTGGTAGCAAAGCTTTAGCTGATTTCACATTATTTTCGGTGACTCTTGTGGCAAAACCTTTCGTTAAATCTATTCGTGGCATGACTATGTTACCCTGTCCTTTATCAGTATTATTATCCTTATTGTCGTTGTTGTTGCTCGACAGGTGATACTCTCGTTCTTTACAAGTCTGGCAGCTCAATGGCCGTCCATCTGCCACACGGATTGTGAAAACGTTCACTCCAATGTTATACAAGACTGCTACTCCACCAGGAGTAAGAGAAACTCCCAGCCCTACAGTTACTATGCGATGCCGCCGAAACTGTTGCAAGTGGACACAGTGGTCATGGACATTCCGTATGTAAACTACGCCTACTTTAAAAAAAAAAAAATTTTCGCTTTGTTTTTTCATATTTTGTTTTTTCGACTTTTCTTTTAGTTACAGGTGCTGTTGAAAAGCGGAAATTTAAAAAAGAAGGCATCTCCTTCCCTCAAAGAAAGCAGCAAAACCTGCTCCGATAACATGAGTCCTGAAAACATATCG